TAAAAAGCATGTCTAATAAAAGTTTTGTAATCAAACAAGCATGTCTAATTAATTTAAGTCACGAAACATACAATTTTCTTTTTAACTAAAACAATATTTTTAGGGCCCTATTTATTTATTTAACTATTGCTGCACAACAACAGGCTCACTGTTCAAATAAAAACATGTAAGAAACGTGTGATATTCCTTAAAAAATAAGCTTTTATTTTGCTATTATTATTATTATTACTACTACTTTGAGAAGTATATTCTGCTGTACAATAACATTTTATTTCTGTCACATTCTCTTTAAGTTAATCCAAACTTTGACGGGTTGTCTTCAAGCCATCAGAGAGATTTCAAACGAAATGGTGAAGTGATGTGTTCATGTCCTCATATTGCAGCAGACGCTGAAAACATCGCAAGCGTCACGTGTGTTTTAGTATGTGGAGACCAGTAGACAAAACTGCCTCTCAGAAGAGCAGAAGATGCTGACGTCATATTTCAATAGCAGTCTTTTTGTGCTTTTATATTCACAGACACTAGACCATATCATGATTTGATTAAGTGTACAGCCCTACTTTAAATGTATTGCCTAATTCCATGACATTTCTCGTTATACTGTAAACTTTATGACTGATTCCGTGATTCTTACATCATAGGAATCACAGAATCCTAGTGTCCCTGTAACTGAAGCACAAAAGTTACCTTCCTGCCCTCCAGCGAGGATGTGTCAGGAGGGGGTGTGCTGTTGGTGATGTTGAGGGGACTTGAGCCACAACTAGAGGGCGATGAGCCTCTTATCCTGTCAGTCATATCAATGAAAGGTAAAACCAGCTGCAATGTCATCAAGATCATGACTCAAATGCAGATTACCCTACGTCCGATCAGCATACCTTTGTATCTCTATCACTTCCTCAGCGATCATGCGGCCAATCTTTCCTGCTCCGGGTCTTGTGCCTCCAGGGATTCCAGGGACAGTCTTCCCTGAGCCTGCAGCAGAACAATTGACAAGGCCACAGAGATATTGTTAAAGGTTCATCACAAACTCCAAAAGATGATCAATGGACTCTACTGTATGTACATTAATATACATGAATGTTGAAGTGCTATACAACCTACAGTATATATATATATATATATATATATATAAAGTAGTTTTCTCCCATAGCAAACTATGGTAGCATCAAACTCTTTCTGTTATATTAATAATATGTGACCCTGGAGCACAAAACCAGTCTTAAGTCGCT